TTATGGATTGTAAAAAAAGGGGGAAATGTAAATAGACACTGTATCATTGCATTTGTTTATTAAAAGATGATAACATTATTTTCAGCTAATTCATAAAATAACAATGTTACTAACAAGAAGAAGAAGAGACTTACCTTATATTCAGAAGACTGTTCCAAACTTTCTACAGAAGCTTCAGCGTAATGTGTGTTTGGTAAGGTTGCCTTAGCGTTTTGGTTATCATCCTAGGTTAACATAAATAATAACACATGTATAATTAGTTGAAAAAATATAATAAAATTGTAAGCTCAATAAGTCGCGAAGCGACCGAACAAACCTTTTAGAAAACACGACAAGGTATGTACTATATACAATATTATAACACTGTGTAATAGTAAGTCTAGAGGCAGGAAGTGAGTTCTTGTAGTAAATATACACACATACACACCCCGATTAAGAGACTAATTTATAAATATTTAAAATAGCCATTCATCGCCACTTCCCCCTTGCTTTTCTTCTATTACAAATCTATTCCAAGAATTTTCTAAAATCATTGTGGACAGAGGCAGTTAACTTAGCAATGTTTGTGTTAAAACGCACAGGTAATTCGGGTCAAGTAAGCAAATCTCCTTATGAATTATGGTTCAAAAAATCATGTAAAATAGACAAGTACATAGTAGGTAAAATATACAAATCCTATACCTATACCTAGTTTGCTAACTATCAAATAACAAAACAAAGTAGCTCCTATTGTACCGTTATTCCACTTCTAGTCCTATATTACTTCACGGTAATTATATTGATCAGTGTACCAGAAAAGTTTAGGATGTAAAAAAAATATATATAGAAATAATTTAAGTAAAATTGTATGTTGTAATTATTATGATTACTTTCTGGACGTGGTTTACGGCCGTTTACCTTGGCTGACTAAGTATAAAGAAGAAAATTAACTATCAATATTAATGTTCTTATATTCTAAGAACATCCCTGTTCGCATACATAAGTTTATGAGGAAAATATACAAGTAATCGACTCCTATCAGTATAATGTGTTATTTAATTAGAAGTATTGAAGTCGTAAGTATAGGTTGTACCTATAATAAAATACGTTTAGAGTTTTTTGTTACTTCTGCTAATAAAATAAAATGTAATAAACTCTTCATATTTACTTTATGGAATTCCTATTTAAAATTAAACATAATATTTGTACTATTGTTTTATTATACCAAACAGTAGATACATTTTTTGTAATTAGATCCGAAAAATAAATCTTTAATAATATGGTCTTATCTATAATTAACTCACTTATCTCTTATCAGCGATTGTAAACTGCGCCCAAGGCACAGGTAAACACAAAATCATACAATATGTAAACTGCGACCGAGTTTTATCAAGTGTAAAAAGGTTACATGTAAACTGCGCCCGAGTTCTTATCGAGTGAAGTTAAGGTTCATTTATACTATTTAATTTAATGTAGGTATGTTTCTATTAAAAATTGCTTTTAACTTTTCTAAAAACATAAAAATATTTGGATGAGTTGTTTAAAAACTAGAACTAAAATGGGTATGGAATGACTCGCATGCATTGATGGTTAAAAATGGCTCTTATGATGCTTGAGCCATATTTCAGGTGGATACTGACTTCTTCACACTATAATAATCTACTAAATAATTCGCAAACGTGTCACTCTTTCGTCGTCGGGCTTAGATATCATTAAATAATTTATAAAATACTCAGATACACTGTTTTGAACCCTTGAAATATTTAGTATTAATTAGAGTAGTATATAAGTTATATTAATATTTCGCAATTGGAGCAACAGAGTATCATGCGTAGACGCGGTCGACCTAAAAGAATGTGTCTATTATTTTAAAACCGCGGAAAATCTATAGTATCGAATTACAGACCAAAAGCAAAACTCGCTCCAATTCCTAAGCTTTTAGAAAAACTCATAATTTCAATTCTCGCACAGACATAAAAATACCTTAAACTCCAATCGACATGGTTTTTTATCTGGCAGGTCGACCGACACTAATTAGATTTGTTTTCTGTCTAACTTAATAAAATCTACGGAAATTGGTCTTCAAGTAGACGTTATATATATATATATATATATATACTGATTTTAGTAAGGTGTTCGACTCTGTTAACCATTCAATCCTTATTTCTAAACTTAAATCCATAGGCATCTCTGATCCTTTTCGATCCTGGTTTAGCTCTTACCTTTCAAACAGATGTCAACAAGTTAAAGTAAACGACCATCTATCCTCACGTTTTCCTACTACCTCTTCCTACTCGCCTTCCCCAAGGCGGTCACATTTCTCCTCTCCTATTCCTTATTTTTATTATGGACATTGTTATACACAGTTAGATTAATATAAATAATAATATTCGCTGATGTTTGTTATGAAACCCAAATTACACGAATGACAAGTTGTGCCGGTGTAGCACTCGCGTATGGTAGACAATTGCACCATATGTTGCATGGAGTTTGTTTGGTCAACACTAGGCGTGTCTGAATAATTAGAAGCAGGAGATAACTCATTTTCTTTTTGGCCGTGTGGCCATATCTGATCATTGTGCCTTAGTCAGAACCATCATTTAAAACTACTTTATGAATATTATGACTAATATTATCAGTAATTGTACCCTTCGGCCAATTTTCACCTGTTTTTCTGTAATCTTTAACTAACACACCATCCCCCTTATCTAAATTTAAGTCTCTTTTACCCCCGTTTTTTATTTGTGTTACTTGATTATTAATAACTACTTCGTTGGTGTTTGGTATTAATAAATCAAATAGTGTTTGTGTCGAATGACCCAACATGAGTTGAGCGGGAGATTCGTGTGTTGTCGGGTGAGAAGGGACTCCTGTTAAATGCCTAATACCTAGTTTTTTACAGGCGTGAAAAGGCGTGCATTCGGACTTTACTTCAACGTCGGACTTGTTTCATGCTATAAAGAAGATGGCCGTCATATGTCTGATGTAATTTTTAAAAAATTAAATGGCACTCATTTACATATCATAAAATATTAATAAAATGTTTGTACATCTAAAATATACTGAGTTATGTCTATCTATTTTTGACCCTATTCGTTGGCAGCGGGGGCACGCTGCACCTTAACTATCGATTCATTGTTTTTCACAAACGCGTCGTACGCAAACACACGGTGAACGACACTCCACTGCGCTATAATGATAACTAAATGGCATTATCTGACGGATCGAATGAGCTTATCTAGACCTGCCTACTCCCATTCAATGTTGAGAAAAACCCATCTACTTTTGTCCCTATTTCCGTGGCCCACCCTGTATTATATTGTATTAAACTTATATATATACATTATAATAATAATGTACGATTGTGTTAAATGAAAGCGACATCCATGTATGTTTATCCGAGGCCAAATAGCGAGCGAGTGCTAAAACACTCGGATATCTGCCGTCCTCATTATCAATGCTAATTCCACATGCTGACAAGCAACCTCGTCATGGCAATTTATGCAATTTGGTAAAAGCGGTAGAAACCCTAAAATGTTAATATTCCCGTGATTTTATTGATTCGGACGCTGTTTGCATTTCATACCGATGACGAGAAGCTGGGCGCAGCTTACATGTAGGTACTAACCTTTTTCCACTTGATAAAAACTCGGGCGCAGTTTACACATACGTTTTTTAAACCAAATTATAAACGGGGCGCGGTTTACGTATGCCCAAAAACTCAATAGATAATCGTTTTCTTGCACCCGGCCTTAAAGGTGCGCGTCCACAAGTCCGCATCGGACGGATTTTAATGTGCTATAGCCAATACTGGAAAAATTGTACATCCGGTTGATACGACCCGTCCGATGCGGATATATGGACGCTTACCTTAACACGTAAAGATTGTCAGCTGGCCCTGGACAAGCGGAGTTGTGTGTGCGACCGTTTCCCTAAGTATGACAATGAAATATTTTTGAAATTCATACGTACGGATTGTAACCACCGAGAGCAGCAATAGTCAACCAGGTAGGCACAACCGAACCCCGCCACAAATCCGCCGGTCGCATACAATTTAAGTGACATCATGTTTCACAAAATCGAGTATGTTGCTGAGACGTGATGACGAATAACGAAAAACTAAATACTGTTTTAAGAATAACGAAAAACTGAATACTGTTATAAGAATAACGTAAAACTGAATTCTGTTATATAATAATAAATAACAACCAATAATACCTAACAATGATTTAAAAAGCCATTATTATTATTTATTCTATTCGGATAGCTTTTAATCAGCTGTTAAAATTCCGAGCTTTTTAAAAACCCAAAAATGTTTTTTTTTAATACATTTCATAACCAATACTCTTTAATGTCTATACAAATGACCAGGCCATTATGGGAACTACTCGTCGTTTCCTGTATGCCGACGATTTAGCGATAACTGCGCAGGGGAAAACTTTCAGTGAAGTGGAACACACACTCGCACATGCGCTGGAGAAATTGGACAGATTCTATACACAGAACTCACTAAAACCCAACCGAGCAAAAACGCAAATAAGTGTATTCCAGCACAACCAAAATAGGTTATTTTTTGTTCGCGGCTTTTGGCGATTTAAATAAAAATTGTAACATTTGAATTTAAAAAACTAGTAAACGAGTAAAACAACATTTTTTTTTACTATGTAATAGTCATAATATGTCATAAGTGTAATTAATCATTAACGTGTATTAATAGTCCTACAACTTTACAGGTTGAATTCTAAAATAGTGCAATTATACAAAACAAATGTGTAATTCAATCATCTGTACGAGAAGTATAATAAATGATGTAAAACATAAAAATAAATAACATTTATATTCGCAATTTGAAGAAAATCCGTCACGCCTTTACTGTGCCCTGCCCTTGTTAGAAAATGGCTGCTGTTTTTCGTTTACACAATAGCGTTCAATCAGCCAACCAGAAGGTCCCATTCGAGCGCACGCACGTGATAGGCGGGTGTGCGCCATTTTTTACGACAAAATTTAATGTTAGGTATAAATTCAGGGTTGGACTAGCTCACCGGACATCTCAGTTTAAAAACGTTGGGCCTCCTTGTTCAAAAGTTGTATTCAATGATTCAGTAAGTGAATAATTCGACTTTTTTTAGTAATTACATTAATTTGACGGTATTTAATATTATGATGTAATATAAGGATGAACCGACAGACATACAGGCTGACATTACTGGACTGGACAATTTTCATCCTGTTAATTCAATAGAAATATTAAACATTCCAGTAAGTAAATGAATTAACAGTTTTATAATTTATTTGAATTTAATTGTTTAAAAAATAAAATGTTTACCTATACGATCAGTCAAAATTCAAGGGCTCACCAGAAAAAACAGACATGTCTATTTTTATGACATGTAGCGAAGATTTTTAGCGAAGATTAAAGAACGAGTAACAGTAGATCAGAAGAGCCAAAGGAGAATTTTTTTTGCATTTTTTGTTAATTTTTTTTTAAGACTTTTTAACGGGCACTCGAGTGGGCACCGTATGAAATGCGATATCTGTAATAATAATCCAAATTTGCCTCTTTCCAAAGACAAAAGTCCTATTTATTCGAGTCGTGTTCGGAATAGTAAATGCAGCTAAATTGTCTACATCCAGCCGTATACCGGATAATAAATCCTTTTGGGGTTCTCTAATGGGATTTGTCGGGCAGCACGGGGTAGGAATGGTTTACAACAGTAATTAGAGTCGACGACGTGCCTGCTAAATCAATATTCGAAAATGTTTTCATATTATATAGTCATAATTCATATATCTATTTGAATAGGTATCGTTTGGTATGAACGACCAAAGCAAATTAGACAACGAATCAATACTGGACAATACTGCATTCCAACCCATATAACGGACATTTTTCAGTTCAGTTTTTTTTAAAAATATTATACCTAAAATATTGTCATTTTGTACGTGGAAGCAAATGAGCTGGAGAGAGAGAGAGAGAGAGAAGGAGGGATAAACAGGTATATTGATAGCATCGTAAAAAAAAGAAACGATCCGGAAAATATTAAACCGGAATGGGGCGAGACCATAAAATAAAGGTCTTCAAAAGTTAGATAAGGGCAGATCATGACCGAGTCGTGCATTCGGAATACATTATAGTGTTTGTTTAATCTCTCGAATATAGAGTGCACTCTTATCTTGTCAGTGTTTTAAATATATTATATTTTGTTATTTTGTCCTATCTCATAATATTCTAGTTTAAAGCCACCTTGACCGAATTCTCTGACCTAAAGACGGCGTACCCGCGACATTTATGCATTTACTTGAAAATGAATAAGAAAAAGTTCAATTTTTCAAATTATTTTGTTATATTACTTGTCCACCCTCTGATTGGGGTTCGTTTTATTAGTTACCACGTTCAATCGTTCTGACTGCATTTTTTTTTTTGACATGGACATGTCTTATGGCAGGGGTCGTTCACAGTGCTGACGTCATTAAGCATATATATATATATATATATTTCTACTGTCCGTGTGTAAGTATGCAAACTCCTCTCGATTAATGACTTCAATATTTTTTTAAAATTTTTTTATGTCAACTTTTTTTGAGTGAAGTTAAACGGTTCCACGTTAAATACCCAAACAATTACCTATTAGTAGTGAATATGTCTTAGTGGCGTAACGGTTAACACTTTGAACTAATAATCAAGAGGTTTCGGGTTCGAATCGAGTCCAGGCAAAGCTACCTATTTTGTATTTTTTTTATTTTTTAATTTATATTTCAACGGTTAGAAACATTTGAAGCCTCAAAAAAAATCAATTTAACTTGACCTATCGGCTTCTAGACAAAAAAAAAATCTATTATCGTCAGCGGATTTATATTACACAATTTTTTCTTTCTCTTTAGAAGAATAACTACAGTGATCCGATCAGCCTAATACGCCGGCAAAGATAACAGATATGGACATAGGTTTTAAGTACTCATGAGCTCGACAAAACAAAAAAAACTCCCCGTCGACCGGCACCCCGTACCGGTAAAAGGGCGTTTAACGACACCAAAGCACTGTGTACTATTATATAAAGCCGTGACAAGACGTGACAGCGTTTCTCGGTGATGACAAAAAAAATAAAATGAGTTGGCCGTCGAAACGACTTTGCCCTAAAAAAAAAACGTCACAAAAAACCCGTACCTATCGTCGCTCAAAATCCAAAAAACCTTCAAGTACTTAAGGGCAAAGACTACGACGGTTTTATGTTGTAAGACTTAGTGGTGATAGGGTTTTTCATTTTTTTTTTTTGAGAAAACATGTACGGTAATGGTCGATTGTACCCCATATGTTACGGCCCCACTAACAATAAACGCGATTTTTCGCCATTACCCTTTGTCTTAGGGTCACCAGCCCTTTACAATAAGGTTCTGGCGCGATTCAGACAGGTCGCCGACGTCAAAATGGCATAAAAATCCACTCCTTGACCGAAAACCCGCCAAAACCAAAAAACTTACCCGGCCGCCGGTGGCCGTTGCTATGCAAAATAACAAAGCCTGAAAATTACTAATTTTCAAATGAAAATGGGAGTTTTCCCGGATTTCTCAGCCGCTAGGGCGTATAGAAGGCCGCTCGATCCCTCGTTAGATCCACGAGATCACGGTCTGTCCGACGATGCCAGGCGCGCGAAGAAACAGCGGTTGTTAGCGCCGCGATTTGCCACTAAAACTACTGCGCTTAACCACGACGTACCCTGCTAGTTTCGCGTCTTCCGCCGGTCTCAGGGCCTCGGCCTGATGTTGCTTAATGTTGCCTACAAAATGTTGTCTTACTGGCCCCACTCGACGGTGTCGAGCCACGGACAAAGGAAAGATCTCAGGGGACGACAAATGCATGTATATGCTAGTCGAAGGGTTTGATATAATATGTGCTACAGCTTGTGTCTACGGTATGTGTCTATTTTTCCAATCGTAAATCCATCGGTTCAGCACTAATTACTCGGTCGACAGCAATATGCACCTGTGTAGGTAATAACAGCTGTTGTTAGGCTTTTAGTTATTAGGCTTTTGTGCTGGCCGATTTCAGTATTAATATTACTTGTTAGCGACCTCGAGTAAACAACCAATGTTTCACCAGACGTCGAACAGACACGCAACGCGAAACGTATTTTTTGTTGTTACGAGTCATTCCAAGTCATTCCAAGTCATTCCAAGTCATTCCAAGTCATTCCAAGTTTACCGAAGTCTTTAAAGGATGTATGAATACATTGCGGCGGCATTAGCGGGCGGCGTCGTGACCGGCGCTGGTTTTCTCTATTACAATGTAAGTATCGACAGTCCAGTAAACCTACCCTAATGCCTCGGTGCTTCTTAAATAATAATAATAATAATTATAACTATAAACAGAGGAAATGCGCCGCAAAGTACGCCGCGGAGTATGAGAGATTGCGTCGTGAGCACGCAAGAGAAATCGACAACTTAAACAACGAATGGGCGCGAGTGCTTTCAAATAGCAATGACGCAATGAGAAAGCTGCATGAAGAAAAAGATAAGCTACAGTCAAGTTACAATGATGTAGTAAACAAAATGCGAATGCTGCAGCATGAAAACGAAAAGCTCGAATCGATACGTCAAAACCTGCAGGAAAAAAAAGATAATCTAGAATCAAGTTATGACGACGTAGTAAACCAAATTAAAATGCTACTGGCGGAAAAAGAAAAGCTAGAATCGATGTGTCAAAAGCTACAAGCGGAAAAAGAAAAGCTAGAATCGATGTGTCAAAAGCTGCAGGGAGAAAATGATAAGCTAGAATCAAATAACGCAGACATACTAAACCAAATTCAAAAGCTGCGGGGCGAAAAAGAATTGCTAGAATCGATATTTCAAAAGCTGCAGGGAGAAAAAGAAATGTTAGAATCGATATGGCAAAAGCTGCAGGGAGCAAATGAAAAGCTACAATCCAACTACGACGAAATATTAAACAAATTGGAAAAGCTGCAGGAAGAAAAAGAGAATCTTGAGTCAAAGTACAACGACATAGTAAACAAATACCAAGTACTGCAGAAAGAAATGAAAAAAAGAGAATCGGCACACTTGGGCGAGATGGAGATAAAGACAGACGAGCTAAACGATTTAAAGTTCAAATTAGGGAAAAAAACGCATCGCTTAAATTGCACCCAAACGGCATTGTACCAGCTCGAAAATGGTCCCCGCCGCCGCCGCCCTAGGAACGTGCAGATGGCCAATAAGGGCGGTAAGTGAAAATACAAATAATAGCAGTTTTTTTTTTTTTTTTAGGGACTATAACACACGCCTCACTATTAATCTAATTACTACCCCTTGATGATTTCAGTGAGCGTTCAGTTATGTAATCATGAACCAAGCAGCAATTGACAACCGGCTGTTCGCACTCGGTTGCTCGCACTCGGACGAGCACACTGCTTTTGGGCGTCGACGATGTCAACCTTTAAGTTATCCATAGTATTAATATGTTTGTGACGATTTTAACGAAATTCTTGATCTGTTTGAAAGGCCGGTTGCTTATGAAATATGACACGGTTGAAACGTCGGCCGCGGCTTCGCACGGTGGCACGGGGATGCGACAGGTGGATTTTCAACGACTCTGCCCCCGCACGGATCCGGCTGAGCTTGAGCACGACGGCTTGGGTCGTGTCGACTTTGAGGGCATCCGGCGATTGCGGCGACATAGACCTGCGCATCTCCGGAAAACGTTCTGGCTGGGCCGATTAACGTGACCTCTGCGAGAGATAAACACGTGCCCTCGAGCCGTTCGTGCGGAACGTCCGTCGTGGCGCCGTCATGCTGGAACCAAACGTCGTCCGCGTCCGCGTGGTTGATGAGAAAAAACTGGTTATCAATGGTCTCGACAATAGAGTGCGTAACTGATGATAAACGATTTTTTTTTCAGCCGTACGGTCGTAGACTACGTGTGGTTTCGGCGGACGCCACGGCGGAAGTTCCCGGAGTTGCGGGTGTATGCTGCCAGACATCACCGATGACCTCGCAGTCAACCCGGCCCGTGCCACCGCTCGTACAGCCGGATCTATGCGGCAGACTCGTGGAAATCCGCCCCAGCGGCGGCGGACGTTTCAACGATGACATATTTGAAGAAAAAAAACGGCCACAAGAATTTCGTTAAGATTGTGTTTTTTATTTATTCAATGTACAGCTTATAAAAATGTAAAAATATTCTACTAATACCAATGTAAAAATGTGTTAAATAAACCATCTATAACTGTATATACTTGTTATTATTGAGAAGTTCTTGCACGGGGCCTACCGTACATTATAATTTATGAGTATTATTGTACAAAACAAAAAAATATGCCTAATTATTACTGCATAGCAATTAATAGGAGGTAAAATGTTAGCTCGACGGTCGAATATGACTATTTATTATTGAAGATTTCAGTTTACATAACATGATAGATAATAAGATTAATTAATATCATAGTTAATGTGTAGGTAGATATTATATA